CCACGCAGGGCAGCAGCAGCCAGCAAGGGGGAGCTCAGTGAAGGTTGTGCACTGCAGGGACGGTCCAGGGACGGGGGTGGGGGAGAGACTCTCTGGGGCCGGGGTGGGAGGACGCACTGGGGGCCGGGGCCTGCTCCAGCTCCAAATATTGGAGGAGCATGGGCACCACGAGCCCATACAACTCGCTGCCCATGCCTCTGCTGGCTAGCCGGCTCTCTCTCTGAGGGGACGGGGGAGTGCTGGCTCCTCGTGGAACCCCTAGTTTTGCTTTGCAGAACCCCAGGGTTCCCCAGAGCACCAATTGGGAAACACTGAGCTAGTTGATGCTTACATTCCTAGTGTTTGGTGGTGTGAGGTGGAGGGATGGGTAAATCTATAATATAGATCAGGGGTCAGCAACTTTTCAAACCAAAGAGCCAAACTACATCAAAATTTACAACAATTGGTCAGCAGAGAGCCATATAAGAATGCCCATTTGCATGACTGGAAATATATGACTTAATATTATTTTCAGGTCTTTTCAAACAATACAATCTACTCGCCTCTGGCAAGTAGATTTCAGCTGCGCGCCCCGTTCATTCGCGATGCGTGCATGCACAATGTGGCCCTTGCGCATGTACAGTACGGGGCTGGTGAGCGGTTTTTGCCGCCGTTCGTCAAGCCCTGATTATTGGTAATTGACATGATTAATAATAGCATAAATGAAACCTTGTACTCAGGGTTTGTTTAATGCGACTTCTGCTGCAGCATCTTTTTGCACATAACTGGTCAAATCCAGCTTCATGCACACTTTCAGGCTGTCCTCTGTCATTCTTATGGCAGGGATATGGAGATGCAGGAATTTGGGTATGTGGAGTAGGAGGGGCTCAGGGTTGGGGCGTGGGAGGTGCAGGAGTGTTATGATGCAGCTTTCAGATTTGGGACTTGTTGGCCAGGCTTTATTTTTAAATAAAGTAAAATATTATGTCCAACACAAATGGTTTCAACATTGTCTTTATTTATGGCGGGGGTGGGGAACCTTTTTTGGGTCAGGGACCACTGTCCCACAAAAAGTCAGTCAGGGACCACACAAGTGAGAAGCAAAAAAAAAAAAAACTCTCCAAAAACTTCCAACCCTCTCTGATGTGGCCCTCAACTGATACACCTGGCACTCCAGCCCCACAGGGGAAGGAGGGAGAGAGTAAGGGCAGGGAGGATTGAGGTTCAAGGCCTCAGGCCAGGTTAACTTTTCTGGGGTTCCAGGTTTAGTGGGTTCTAGTTTGCGGAACCGAGCTGACATTGAGGGATGGGTGTGCAGAATCTGGGTGGGAGGTAGGGTGCAGGAGCAGATTGAGAGTAGGATGTCTGGCTGCGGGAAGGAGGTAGGAACAAGCTGGGGGGGTAGGAACCTGGCTGGGGGGAGAGGGTAGGAGCAGGGTGCATGTCTGGCCAGGGGATAGTGGGCAGGAGCAGGGTGTGGGAATTTCCATCAACTAGTCTATAGGCACTTCTGCATGCAGCCTGGAGCCAGAGTCCCCAGCAGGGCCTCCCTTGTATTTCAAAGCAGAAGTGCAGCATGGAGCCCAGGGTCAGTGGGACACTTAGAGTCCCCTGCTGACCCTGGGCTCCATGCTGCGCTGCAGGTTTGAAATGCCACGTGAAGCCCGGGATCAGCGGGGGACTCTTCAGCTAATCCCGGGCTCCCTACTGCATTTCGGAGGAACCCGGGATCAGATCCCAGGCTAGAGTCCCCAGCTGACCTTGGGCTTCACCCAGCGCTGCCACCTTGAAACGCCGAGACGGTGTTGAAAGGGGCAGTGCTGCACAGATAGAGGCAGCAAGGGGGGGAGAGGGGGATCGACTAGTCAACTGATTATCCGATAAGCATTTGCTTATCGGATAGTTGACTAGCTCTTAACATCCTTAGTGTGGGTGGGTGTCTGGCCAGGGGGAAGGGGGCAGGAGCAGACTGGGGGAGTAAAGGAGGTAGGATCTCGGTGACACTTACTTGCTTTTTGCACCCGTGCTGCTCCCAGGCTCCCTTTCCCAGGTATGGCTTCCTGCTGCTCCATTGTAGGGATGTTAAATATTGGTTAACTGAATAGTCAATTAACCTCAAATTCTTATTGGTTACTCGACTAGTCTGAAATCCCCAGGGGTAGGGCTGCACTCACAAGGAGTCCCCTGCCACTCCCCGCTGCTGCCTTTGTATTGGAGGCAGCAGCATGGGGTGCCTGGCGGGAGCTGGCCCTTGAGGAGATCCAGTTTAAAAACCAGGTCCCCTCATGGACTGGCTGCCTGTTGCCCCGCACTACTGCCTCTGATACAGAGGCAGCGCAGAGTGGCAGTAGGCCTTGTTCAGGGGGAGGAGGGCAGTCTGAGCTCCTGGACCCAGTGCAAGCCAGAACTGAGTTGGGCTGCCTGCCTGACTTCTAATACACTTTAAATGCCGAGCTGCAGCAAGGTAAGTTCTAGATCAGGTTCAAGCCGGAAGTAAGCCAGGCTGCTGGCCAGCCTGCTAAAAAATGTACTGGCCAGAGGTGGGGGATGGAATGCGTGCAGTCTGTAGCATTAACCGATAAGTTTACTCTATTTCCTTCATTGTTCTTTTCGCTAAAAATTATCAACACTGAAATAATATTATTACTGCATTGTTATAATTGAATTTTAGAGTTGATGTCCAGTTAGCATAATAGAATCTAGGGGAATTCGTGCTCCTCAGACTTTGTTATAGGCTGTTCGCAGACTCAGGCAGACGACCACACCAGTTATGCTCAGTTCATATTAGGAAGCTTTTGCTTTTAGCTCTCCTAATTACAAATATTATTAAAAAAAAAACAGATTCTGGACAATCTGAATGTTGTGTGCAGGCTGGATGGAATCTGCAAATCATGTATTTGACTTCTCTTCAGAGTAAACTGTTAATTGTCAGCTGTTCAATTTCAGATTGCATCTTGTTTTGTTTCTTCTGATATCATTTTATTATGAATTCTAAATTAATTGGGCTATTTTCATTATGAGTACTGCAAAATTAATAGCTCTTCCTATGTTTTGTATAAGATAGTAAACCATTTTGAGTGTTTTTCCTAAAACCTACTTTTTACTCTCTCTACCATCAGACATGGGGAAATCCTTTTCTCACCTGCCTTTACATACGTGTAAGGAAGATGGCTATGATGGAGGTACAGCATCTGAAAACATGAGGAATGGATTAGTTCACTCTGAATCCCATAGTGAAGATGGAAGAAGTGGGGATGTGTCACAGTTCCCCTATGTGGAATTTACAGGAAGAGACAGTGTCACTTGTCCCACTTGCCAAGGAACAGGGAGAATTCCACGTGGTAGGTGTTATAATTTACGAGGAAATATGTTTAATTTTAAGCGAATGCCCTGCATCCAGTAACTACAACTCCGTAACTGAAATTTGTTTTTATTTGTGCACTGCCGAGAAGATAGTCAGATTATGCTAAATCAACATTTTATAAATTACCTTTTCAGTATATGTATGAGAAAATCAGTGGAAGATTTAATCTTGATTTGCTTGTGCATATGTGCTCATAATTCTCTTTGTATCTAGATATTTTATTCCTTAACTATATATTGAAACGAGTAGGAAGAGTTGTACAGATGGACGTTTTATGATACCTCTCACTGGAATATATACAGTGGTAATCAGAACCTGCACTCTTGAGGATATTATGTTAATAATGTTCTCTCTAATTTTTATTTTTAAAACATGTAAGTCAACTTAGAATTTAGATGTCCATCAAGTGTAGGGTCTTCTGGATGTTTTTGCTGTTATGCTTTCAGTATGCATTTCTGTTTAACAGAAATGGTCATACCAGTTTTGTGAGGTAACAGTTCTTACAATTGATGTACAATATGTACAACCATCATACATATTGGTTGAAAACATTTTAAAATTTGAACTTCGCAGTTTTATATAATTTTTAGTTAAAAGTTAAAGCGCTTTAACTGGACAGTAACATGTAGCTCTCATTTTATAGATGGAGAAATTTAGGCAAAGCTAGGTCTTTTAATTGGCCTTTTAACTATGGCAAGGAATGAGAGTACAGAGAATCTGTTGTGTTTTTTTTTGCTTTGACAAATCTATACCTTAAATTACTCCACCTCTTAAAATGAACTATAATATGGAAAATGACCTTTATAGAAACTAATTACAGTAGCACATATAGTGTTTTCCTTTTAGCTGTCCTTTGTATCTTGTGTTAAAAGCTTTACTTCTATTTGTCTTTCTTTTAAAAGTAGCATTTTTATGCCTTTAAGAAGGTCTTTGCTCCTTTATAGATAGTAATGTCAATCATTGCAAAACCACATTGTATTCTGCTTGTTAAAATCATAATTGAGAAATTCAGATCTCAGTAGGTAGTTATGCTTTTATGTATTGTGTATACCCCGATAAGGGTTTTTTCTTGAAATCCATGGATTTTGCATGCATTCAATATCAAATATTAATTGTTGCTTGGGAAAATCATTTAAAATAGGTTAGCTATATTTCTGGACATGAAACGTTTTTCTCCTGTGACTTCATTGTTGGATGCTCCTTGTTACTTCTGTTTTTCTTAAAAGATGATGCACTTGTCTTTGCATGTTTGCGCTCCTGACAGTATTCATGCAAAGATTCTCAAATATATTTGTGAACAGTAGGATGAAATAGTTCATCATATGGTGATATTATCCTTTCTAGCTGACATTCCTTGGAGGATTTCTTGCTAGCTAGCAGATGATATGAGAATTTGGGTGAAGTCTAATACCCAGTGTTGTTGAAGTTCAGCATTTTGGTTTTAAAAAATGCACCTTCAAGTATCATGGTGTACACAGCTTTGAAAATACTTGGCTTTGGGTAATATAACGCGTTTAAAAAGTTATCACAAAAATTAATTTAAAGCTGTGTCTTTTACTGTGGTGTATTTGACAGATGTCATTTTGGAAAGGTTCATCTTCCATCCTTAAATGGATTATGGTTAGCCTGGTCAAATGACTAGTAGATACCCATGTCAAAGCAAAGTCCATCTCTTCAGTAGTAGACTTTTTTTGGTCAAAATTAGAATTCTTACTGTGTGTTCAGTAACAGGAAGTACAATCCTTGAGAAGACAATACATTTGTAGTTCTACATGCTGCACTTAGGATTTACCCTGACTTTCTGAAATGTACGAAATCTATGACTTCCTTGTCTTCATGAGCATACTGCCATGTGTTAGCTAATTTTTTTTCCTGTAAAAGAGACAGTCTTAGGTATACTACCTCATTTATATTTCAGCAAAAGATAATCTTCCTCAAATTACTCTTGCATCTTTAATTTGACTATTTTTCATTTTCCCTCCTAAAAAGGTTATTTGTGGGAGAATTTTGCACCACTGTTCATGTGCAGAATTCATGTGTCCTGCAGAACTTGTTTTCTGTACATTGTGCCCAAGAAATGCTGCAGTTCTACTTTTGTCTGCTAGAGGCCATAGTGGTGCCAGAATAGCCATCAACAGGGCTCGACAAATAATGCAATCTACTCGCCCATGGCGAGTAGATTGCAACCCGGAAGAGCCGGGTTCAGGCGATCTGCGTATACGCAGATCGCCGTACAGCGCGGCTGGCGAGCAGGGCTTGCCGCGGTTTGGCGAGCCCTGAGCATAACCATCACAATAGCCTCTGGGCAAAAGGCAGAATTGCACAACTTCTGGGATAGAATGTATTTTTGGGGTGGGGTTGTGGAATTCCTCCAGGAGTAGAAGTTCATTACAACATTCAGCCTGCCGAGCCAGACAAAGTGGAGCACACAGGGCTGCTCCTGGCTCAGTGGAGCGGAGGGCGTGTTGTCATAGACTGGTGTTCAGAATGGCTAATGCAGGAGACAGACTGGGATATGTGCTTAGAGCTAGTGGGGTGATGGCGTTAAGCCAGGAACTTAATGAGAGTGGGGGTGCAAAGTCACATGGGCATGGGAGGATGCTATGGAAACCCATGGGGATGGAGGTAGGGATGTTAAAGACTAGTCGACTATCCAATAAGCATTTGCTTATCAGTCTTTCGACTAGTTGATTTCTCCCACTTCTCCCCCCCCTTGTTGTCTCTATGAGATAGAGACAGCAAAGCAGGGGGGAAGGGGTACTTCAGAGTGGCAGCGCCGCACAGCTATGGGACAGAAGCCACCCTATGCCACCCTTGGGACATAAGACAGATAAGGGGGGCCCAGATTGTTGGGAGGCTCCTCCAGTGGCCCAGTGGATAAGGTACCTGCCTCTGAAGCCAGAGGTCGAGGGCCCTGGCCCCTTCCCCTCCCCCCCAGGGACAGCCCACCCAGGTTCCTGAGGGACAGAGCTGGCACCCTTGGAACAAAGGAAGGATATGGGGGGCCCAGAATGTAGGGAGTTTGGGGGGCTCCTCAACTACTCAATAGGCACTTCTGCATTCCTCCTTTAAAATGTACAAGAGCCCTGCTGGGGACATGTGTGCATTTCAAAGCAGGCACATGCATGCAGCTCGGAGTCAGCGGGTCTTCCTGCTGGCCCCGGGCTGTACGCAGAGTTCCGCATTTCTGCTTGGGAATGTACAAGAGCGCCAGCAGGGGCTCTTAGGCACTTCTGCATTCCTCCTTTGAAATGTACATTGAGTAGTTGACAGAAATGCCGTTGACTAGTCAATTAACCACATTTTAACATCCTTAGATGGAGAGTGTGGGGATGGGGCAGATTTGTCTAACTAAATGGGAGAGACTTGGTCAGCCAGGGTCTGCATGGGGAGGCTCTCCAACTCCCTAACAATCTTCCCCTCTCCCCTCCCCCCCCCCAAAAGCCTCCCTACCCCATTCCATACTTTTTCCACACCTTAACAACCATCCATCTTCATTCCAAGTTCCTTCCCTCTCCTGACCCTCCTTCCCCACCACCACCAAAGCTATTGCTTTGCTTTTGATGGGTGCAAGAAATACAGTTTGTATTGTAATTTATTTAAAGGACTCACAGTTCTGTTTTAATATGCCCAGTAAATCTATTAATCAAAAAAATACCATAATCAATTTTTGGTCTGTATTGATACAGGCATTCTTGCTGACAGATATAGAAATAAATTACCAAAATAATTGAATCTGGCATGATTACATTGTATGACATCTGACAAAATATACAGAATTTTGCAGAATTCTAAAATATGAACAGAATTTTTATTTTTGGCACAGAATGCCTCTAGGAATAAAATGTTATTTTGGTATAGAAAGGCTGCAAAATTCTACTCCAGAGAGCTGTATTTCAGTACTGGTTAAGCATTCTTATTCAAATACTGTTTGTAAAGCATTTCAGAATCTTCTGGGAGGAAAGGAACTAAAACCACTAGATTTTTTTTTTTAAATACCAATAAATTTAAGACACTGATATTAGTTGCAAATTAAATTATCAGTGTTGTTCCTTTAGGTTTAGGTAAGCAATTACATCATCTTAAAACTTAGCGTCCAGAACAGAGGTTTAGTACAATTAGGCGTTGCATCTGTCCCAGTCCTTCTGTTTTTGTAGTTTTATGGCCATATATTTTTCTCTCCTGTTGTCTTGTGAAAGACCCATACTAAGGGCTGGCAAGTATTTCATACAAACAAATTAAATAGAAATCATTTTAATCTTCCTGTAATAGTAATGTTAGGTGTTAGGATAGTAGGTATCTCTTAAGTTGAGGGTGTTTAATATGTAAAAATTAGAATTAATATTTAGTAAATCAAAATAGAAAATTGTGAAACATACCATTATTCAATTTTACATTAGGTAATTTATTAAATACGTTATTTGGTATGCTTGTCTCATACTAAACATTAAAAATGTGAGCTAACTAATGCAACTCTGAAATTCACTCCATTAGCCAGTTCTAATGAAACTATTTTATCTTAAAATATCCTGTGCACTGAAAATGAGATTTCAGTTTAGTAAAAATATTTTGAATAAATGAGACTATATTGTCCTATTGGAAATAGAAGCACAATGAACTTGGATTCATGCTTTTTGTTAAACTGCAACAATCATATAGAATTTGTTTCTTCTGGACAAATCCAGCTGTTCAACCCAGCACACAGTAGCACTATAATACTTTGTGGCTAACTTTGAAGACTATTTTTAAACAATCACATGATTATTTTGAGTAGCTTTTTCTTTTTCTCTCAAACTAGAAAATATAATTCCAGAATTTTTCTCAAACATTTTAACCATGTTTCTAGCTTTTCATGTTTTACAAACATAAAGGCTACGTCTACACTGGCCCCTTCTCCGGAAGAGACATGCTAATTTCGAACTTTGGAATAGGGAAATCCGCGGGGGATTTAAATAGCCCCCGCGGGATTTAAATAAA